TTTTTTTTGTTATAAGCTTAAATGCTTCTCAGTTGTCAAACTGCTCAGTTTGCACACTGCTTCCTCTTTGCCTGTCCAAAAACAATGAATCAGTCCTGGCAACTCCCCCCTGAAATAACAGTAATAAAAAAGCAGGGATGATCAATGTGTTAAACGAGAGGCATCAGCTAATAAAGTGGAAGGAATAGCTTGCTCTGAGCTTTTCCCCTGTGATCTCACCCCCATCTTTGCCTTCAAATTCTTTCAGAAGGTGGTGAGGTGCCTCATCCTGCCTTTGGGGCCATAAAGCTGGCTGGAAAAGCCAGCTGGGGGTTTCCCCGGTGAAGGGAAATATTGAGTGGCMAAGAGCCAACACAGCTCACTTAGGCAACCTTCTGTTGCAACATGAGTGGAGGAAGGAGATTAGACAGAGCCCTGGTGCTGATTCAGAAAGGCCAGAATCCTTTTAACCAGCAAATTAAAGTCATAGCCACATCTTTTCTTCCCATAGATTGCCCCCATCCTGCTTTATATCACGGAAGAACAGAGATCCCGGATTCTGAGCACAAATTCCCTGCCTCAGCACTTAAGRGCTTCTGCAGGTTAGCAGGGAACAACTCAAAAGATGCGTTTCAGTCTGGTTTTCCACTCTGGCTCTGCTGTCCTGCACGAATTTGGAGATGCCAGCTGAGTGGGAGTGTGTCAGCAAGAACAATCGTGAATGGAACTGGATATTATGTGCATGCACACATAGAGAGAGCACATGATTGTGGCATTTCAAAGTGATTTTAGCAGCTAGAGGAAGTTCTTTACTCATCAAATAGTGAACTCTGGGAGCTTACTGCCACGGGACACTAAGGCAGAGAGTACAGCAAGTGCAAAAAAAAAGGATAAGATTTATGTTTCATAAGGGGAAAAAGGTATTCTCCATCATCCTTAATCCAGTTTGGGATACTGGGGATATTTGAGAAGTGCAGAAGACAGWAAAAGGCCAAGTTCACATAATCTCCCTAAAAAGTGTCTCTTCTTGATGATCAATGGTCAGGTTCAGCAGGTTTGGGGCTTTTTTTTCTTTTGTCTAACAGGTCACCTTTTTGACCCCCACAGACTCACAAATTAATTCAGATTTTTAAGTAGAACTTCCCTGGTTAAAGTAAAGGATTTTTTTCCTAGACCAATTCATCCCCACTAACTGCATGTTACTAGAGATATCTCTTTAGTGATTCTCTGAGACATCCTGATGGTTTTATTGCTAAATCATAGTGATGTACACCAAGGAAATACTGCCTTGTGTCACACTCAGTGTCACAAATCATCTTGTATGATAACTGTTGGCAGGTCCCTGATGAAATTAATAATATTTGTTAAAAGAAGAGGTTGTGCTTCTAAGATCCAGAGGTAGATAAATAGGTAAAGGGAGGTAAAAAAATAGGTAAATAAAAGGGAGACTTTGAGGTGGATAAATAAAGTGAGTTCGGCAATCAGCTTAAAAAATCATTGCTTATATCAGTGTGACTAAAAAAGAGATATAACTCACAGGCTGATTTTGCACCATGTGCTCATATTTCAACACATCCCAATAAGGTGTTTATTCTCCCTGAACTGTAAATGTGTTAATTTGGATAATTCAGAATCTGTTCCTCTGAAAGCCTGCCTGAAATAAGAATAAATCTTGCATCTTTTGGTATCAAGCATTTTGCTGAMATTGCTCCACTGTACATTTGTGGAGTCTTTAGAGAGTCAGAGCCTTTGAGAAGAGCTCCTTTATGGATGTGAAGGCAAAGATGAAGCTGAGATATTCTCTTSTTTGTTTTCCAAATGTACAGTGATGCTAATTAGTTTAATAGAGATGCTAACTCATTTGCCATGGGGCAAAGACTGTTCTAGACCAGCCTGTGTTTCAGTCCCTTGGGGTTYGGAGTTTTCTGTGGAACTGATAGAGAAATTCCACTTTTCTACATCATTTATTATGACACCCAATAAATATTTCTGGAAATACAAGTTCTCTGTCTTTCAGTTCATAGACCCTGTACTGAGACAGAGAACACCTTTAACTTGTCATTTAAATCCATTAGTTAAGTATTTTTCACTGAGGAGTGACCTTAAAAAAGGTTTATTTACATAATATTCCATATCCTATTGTTTTTTATATAAACAGGATAAAAGTATACCAGTTTGTTGTTGGTTTGGTTATTTTATTTTTTTTTTTTACATTAAAGAAATCAGCTATAAATGCTAAAGGCCCGGAACACCTTTTTTAAATAAACACATGAACAGCACATGCTCACAAATCCAGTGATTGATCACCTCATTGGTATGGTTCAAGGAAAATTCTGTTTAAAACAAAAGCTCTTTGAAAGTTGGCTTTTAAAACCTAATCAGTGCTTGAACAAAGCATAGCACACGRGAAGCCTGATCTGCAGCTACTTCCTATACACTGTATAATTAAATGTTGATAATTTGGAATAATCAGCTCTTGTCCTGTGCATACACACAGGCAGAAAAGTTACTGATTTATCTAGCCAAACCAACTCTCCCACATAAGCAAAATCTTGAGACARTGCTCATGATGCTTTTATATTGCTGAAGACTAGCTGTAAATTAAAATATTGCATGAAAATGTTTGGAAAGAAACAAGTTCATATTTTCTAGCTCGTGGAAGGGAGGAAAAKAAGTCAGATGATCCTACTCTTCACACATAAGATTGATAGTTCCACATATGATCAGAGGGAAAAACGAGCAGTGGTTCAAAAAGTCATTTGAATAACATGGATTTCATACAAAATTTAAACTAAATATAAGAAACTGAGAGCCACGGATCAGGGCAAACAAATCTCATTAAGAAGATCACAAAGARTGGGTTAAAGTTCAGTGAGGTGTGCGAGTCAGTAACATTTAATCTTGTTCCAAAACAACGAACAGAAGAGCACAATATGCCACGCTCAGGAATGTGAGAGCCATGTTGTCTCTGGCATTTGAACAACAGAGAATTATTGCTGCTGATATGGTAATTGCAGAGGTACAGAAAAAAAAAAGTGGGCGGATCATGTGAAATTCATGAAATACTTGAGGTGAACTTACAGCAGGATTAGTCTTTTAATTGTGTACATAGATCTCCATGCACAACTGCTTCATTAAAAGGGCATATTGTTTGTTCTCAAGAGTTTAAAAATCCCCTTCAGCTCAGTGTCTCTCTTTTCTTGGTTTTTAAGATATTTTGCAACATGCTCCTCCCCTCTGGCCTACACAAACAAATATGCCTGCAGTTCCATACCTACAGGAGCCAGTCCAGAACTGCTGTCAGTAGCATTTTTGGTTGCTTTCCACAACACGTAAAATCATTGTAAACAGTTTTGTCCAGCCCCAGATTCTGTGGCATGGGCTGTGCWCGCATTCCAAACATTTACTAATCTAAGTCTGATACTGTTGTCTGGTCCAAGGGCATGAGCAAGGTTTCTGCAGAGCTTGAAGGATTTGTATGGCAAGCTGGATGTGCATTGTAACTGGGGCAGAGGATTTCCAYGAGGATTTCTAGAGGATTTCCATTTTCCAGGATGACCTTGGCTATTTCAGAAATGCCACTGTCCCCCATGTGGAGGGCTGGAGCAGCAAATGCAGCACTTTGCCCTGGTCTGCAGCATCATAACAACTCATTGCTGTTCTGCAGCTGGGTTTAAGTGTGTTGGGTTTCTTATGTTGTTGTAGCTGAGGCTTATCCTTGTTTTTCATGAGGTTTGTATTTAATRAGTGYTCATGTRAACAGGAGTTACTTACAGGATCGTRTCTGCACCACAAAAAGTGCTGCATTAATTTGTAATAAATATAAATGAAAGACTCTGTTCTGGATAACACACACTTGTTCACAGGGTTATTTCAATACAACAGGGAAAATATGCAGGAGAATTCTGGGAGCTGACAGGCTGCCTGTCTCACTCATCCATCTCCATAAAGCAGAAATAAAAGGGGGTTGTTTCAGAAATACACAGAAAAAAGTACAGTTACCCCTTAACCTGATTTAGTTCCCTTCTCCATGGCTCCCAAAATCTCCAA